TTGTAATTATTTTCTATATATATTATAATTTCTATATCTATACTAATATAATAAATTGTAAACACACACTTCTTTGTGGCGTAGGATGTCAGCAATCACATCATATTTTAAAATATTTCTTTGTGTAGTAAAATGCCCTACACTTCGACATGCTTTAGGCTATACATTTTTACGCTATTAAACTTGGGGGATAAATAAATTGAAAAAAACTGTCATGTGGGACCATAAACTACAAGCTACCAATATTAAGGAAGCAAGGTTACCATGGTTTTTCATCATGTCATTTTGACATTTGCAATTAATAATTTGACACATGTAAACGATAAAATTAAAATTTTCAAAATTTTATGCGGATGATGTCGCACGGAAACAGCTAGTTAACATTAATGCAAAACCACATCTAATAATCTATAAGTTTTATACATCAGGATAAAGTGAAGTAATTATTTTGGACATTAGATAGTGAACTGAATTGCAGGAAAATTGATCCCTGCACTCTTATTAGTGTGTAATGGATGTTATTTTAGTAACATTCCATATTGAATCCGAACACCAGTACTGCGGGTATCCACAAATTATCCTGAGTGCTGTTCTATTGTATCACGTTGTAGCTCCAATTTTGTATATTTCCATTTTCAAAGGACTTTAAAAGTAATTAAAAAAGCAGTTAGGTGTAAATTAATATAAATTTACTTTTTGAAATCAAAGATATCTTACAAAATATATGGGTAAAGAAAATAGAAAAACCATAGTAATTAGTTCCAAAATCTTTAAATGTAAAGTAAAACAAAACAAAAGCACGCGTTGTTGAAAAAAATAAACATTTTTTGAACATACTACATTTATTCTATTTGCACTACAAGAAAGAGGACAAAATATCTGTCAGCATTTATTTGCATAGTATTCTTGTGACAAATTGTGGCGAAAGCACTCCCCAGTAATTAGCTACAAAATAATGAAAGAGACAAGAAAATGGTAGGCGTAGAGTAAACAATGAATTTTAAACAATTCCCCTTAATTTATTTTTTTAATTTTCATCAAATCCATTTAACCTTCCCATCCATTCTTAACAAGAAAAGGATGGGAAGGGAATGTGACCAAAATCAGGTCTCTGTTTCGCTAATTGTTTGCGAACTATGAAAAATAAACTTGATATTTATTTACTTTCTAATGTTATATTTATATCTAGCTTTCTCCCGCGACTCCGTCCATGTGGAATTAAATAAAAACAAAAGTGAATAGCCTATGTGTTCTTCCAGACTATCCTCTACATCTGTACCAAATTTCATCGTAATCCATTCCGCCGTTCAGATTTCAAACTCTAACAAACATCCATCCATCTAACCTTTCGCATTTATAATATTAGTATGATTAATTTGATTAGTATGATATGATTATTCAGTCTTCTAATAATTAAATTGCTAACGAGACTTTAAGTTTCAGTTTGCAGATGTTCATTTATTTACATGGCGAAATTCTCCTTGCTGCAATAACTTTAATTAATCACAAACTTAGTCAATATCATAGATCAGTTTTCCAGGTAACAGTTTCAGAGAAGCAAATACAGCGCACTCACAAATTATTTACCAAGTTTCTCTACAAACTAGGTCTTGAATTGGGACAATTATTTTAACTAGGAATACTGAGATTCACTTTATTTGATAATTAAAGTTATTCAGTATTTGAGTTTCTTTACTACTTCGCCTTAACACATATAAGTTACATGTTGCCACGTTTATTGATTTTGAACCTAAGAGGACACAATAATTTTCCATAATAGCTTTTTCTCTCCTGCATCATATCGTATTTTCTCACATGCAATTCGTGTTTCCTAAAGTTAGGAAGGTTAAAAACACGTGGAAAATCTCTTAAAGCATGAATTAGTTGTTATTTTTGTTAAAAAATATAATGCGGGCGTTGAAAAGCGAACATTTATAATACCATATCGAAGGTTCCAAATAAAAATTGTACAATCCAAATTGCTTCTATTGTTCTAAAACCTATCAGAAAACAATAGTAAATTTGATACAACTATGCTTATCCCAATTGGTATATCTAAAGTATAGTAACTAGTATTTTAATTGAAAATTTCTCAACTACTTGAAAAGCATAAAACATTGCAACACAGTTGGCTCTACAATATTCGATAAATCCATTCAGTGCAGTTAAAATCTATATGAATGGTGGTACGTATTGAAACGGAATGAAGTAGGAAATACCGGGTACGCTTGAAATTTCATTCGGCTGCATTTCTAGTTGCACGTTTGGCCTAGTATATTAATGAGAGTTTTTTCTATTTACAAAGACTAAAGGTCACACTATTACATGTCAAGATTACTTATTTAAAATTAATTTGACTTGAAAATACCTAACTCATTAGATCCATGGTAATACCTACGTGATTACTACGATAATAACATACCAAGATTACAGAGATCAAGTACCTAATGCTCTTGAATAAGTGATGAATTTACTTCGTGTTATGTTCATAAGGCGATAAGTCTATTAGTGACTACATGAATAAGTTCCTTTTTAAACATGACACTAGATTGTTTTGGGGTTAATTTTTTGTAGATAAGTTTCTTTAAATATCCTTCGTTATTGGTTATTGGTGCATTATGCAGTGCCCTCCCGATAAAGTGTTTGTATTATGTATTTACAGTTTGGTATAGCAAAAAAGTATTTGGAATTCAAAATTTATTAGAATATACACGGGAAAAAAGACTGCGAGCATCTTGAAGTAATTATCTGCGAAAGTAAAAAATGAATGTTAAAAATGTAGGTGAAAGGTCAGGCGATGAATTCTAAACGAATCTCCCAGAACAATACCTACAACCTTTTTCGCGACAAATTTGAGTCTGTTTCAATAGAAGTGAACTTTTTGTTGTTATTCGACTGACGGGAGGGAAACGTTTCTCGCAGGTCAGTCGGACTGCTTGTTATTTTTTAATTTATCGAATAGTTTTATTTTTTATTTTGTAGTTTGCAGCATACGGTAGATATATTCTTGAATTCGTTGTTAGACACATAGACAAGCGTATCTTCTCTCATCTCAGGTCACTAAATCACGAGAATAAAAATCGTACTTAGTTATTCGAGTAGATATTTATCTAGTTATAATGTTTTCTTTTATATTATATATGCGATATTGGGATTTAGTAGTAGACACATTCTGTTGTTTCGTTTTACAAAAACTCCCCGATTTTACGTAATTATTAAATAAATTAATTTCGGTTTGTTCACATACATTTACTTTCACAACTCGTTAAAGTCATAATAACTTTTTATGCAGCTATTTGTATAGAAAAAAATCAATGTCAATCAAAACTTCGAAGTATAATTATAAATGGAAAGTCAAGTGGGAGCTATACAAGAATATTTTTGATCATTTCATCTACGAGTATATAGGAGATATTCAAATAAAAATATCATGCCCAAATATTGATATCAAGTGGGATATAGTGAAGAGCACTTACCAATTTCATTCATTTGCAGATCTCGTGAGAGTGCAGACATGTAGGCACTTTTACGTTTTAGATTGATCATATACAAAAAATTATTTCGATCTGTATTTGAAAACAATTTTCGTGGAGCGTTTCATAGAAGGGTTTTAATCCCCTACGGTAATATGTCAACCTTTTTTTCACAATTGATCATAATTCATGATTCACTCTTTTTTATTCTTTCATTTTTTTAAATGTTTATGTTAATCCCCGTCTTATAGTTGCAATTATCGTACCTAAATACTGCACCTAATTGCTAAGCTAGGGTTCATGCTGTCAGTAAATGTAAAGTCAGGACACAAAAGGGTCACACAGCTATGTGCAATGGTGTCCACTCTTAAGCTTTTTAAAGGATTTAACTTTCATTTATAACTTCTAACACTTTCATAAGTTAATATTTATTTTACATATGAATATTTATTGCTATGTATTATTTCACAGGCGCTAAACATTAAGCAAAATATCGACGTGAAAGATATTGTATTGGAAGTTTCTATTCAATTCAAGCGAAAATATTTCGTGTTTCTAAGCGCAAGGAAACTGGTTCACTCGAATATTTTCCCCGTTCCAATTTATCGCCTAAAGAGCCGTTTGTATCAATTTGGAGCTCCGTGTTTTCCCAAAGTCCACGATTTCCCGATTGGAACATTATGCTTATTTGTCCTCCTCTAAGATTTTCTTCTAGTTTAACTTGAAAACTTACACTTATAATCGTGATTCGTGAATGTTAATTCACATATTTGTTACAGTTATCTATACTATTATATTAAAGCGTAAACACACGTCTTTGTTACCTATGATATCACCATTACAGCATATTTTGGAATAATTCTTTTCTTAGTAAAAAACCCTACAGTTCCGTCACACTTTAGGCTATATATTCTCACGCCATTAAACTTAGGAGGTAAATATTTTGGATAAAAACCCAATCTTGGAAAGAGACCATAAGTTGCTGCCAACATCAAATCAAGACTGTCAAGGTTTGTCATGTCATGTCATTTTCACATTTTGATATTTTCTGACAATGTCACGCCGATGAAGCCGCACGGGAACAGCTAGTTATTGTATAAATTTACTAACCATGAACAGTTTTATATAGTGCTTAATCTGTAGAAATCAAAAAATTCAGTATATGTTACTCAAAACATTAATATACGATACATAAAAGTAACTTTGTAATGGAACACATGCGGTATTTGTCGACTTTTTTATCGTTATAACTGTTATTTACTTCCAAGCGATAATCATGTTTCATGATGAAATAAGGAAAATCTATCTAATATTTTCCATGCAGATGCAAATTGGGTAAACCTGTGCTTAGAAATGACTTTTAACAAAGTCTACGTGTTAGATGTATATAGCTAAATGGGATTTCTCCGAGATCATTTTAATTCGCGGATAACCTAGAAGTGCTATGCGAAATAATAAAATGTTTGTTATTTTTTTATCAATAACGGTTTTTTAACCAGATTTTTGAAATAAAATATTTATTTGTTAAAATATGATTTATAATTTAACTTTAAATTGGTATTTTTTACAAACACACTTAACAATGTCACACATTGCTCTAAAAATATTACTCAACCATTCCAGTAAGGCGGTTACAGTTCCTTCTTATCTTCTGTTTCGTCGTCACTGTATTTGTTCGGCGTCTCGCCTGGCTTCAGCAGCCGACCAACAATGTCATATTTCTCTGCAAACATAACATCAATACCACTTAAATTAATTATTTATCTTCCTCTAACTATATTACATTAATATTATAAATGCGAAAATTTAGATGGTTATAGTTTGTACCTGGCCCAACAGATCTCAAAGAAATTTAGTATAGACGTAGCGGAAGAACACATAGGCTACTTTTGTTTTTTTTTTTTAATTCCATGCGGACAACACAGGCAAAAGTTAGTATGAAAAAATTACTTATTTTTATTTACATACTAACTTGCTAGAATTTTTTACAGTGTAATTCAATTATTTTAAAAAAAAAACATTAAAAATGAGGAAGACAAATTCAGGCTTTTTATTTATTTTACTGTTAACGTGTTTTGCTTTTGAATTTCTTTACATAGTCATAACAAGTTTTTAATCTATTCGTAGCATGGTACATCTTGCATTAATATCGGAGAGAAAAACTGATAACAAGATATACTAGTCTTAGTAACTCGTCTTACGCTTGGGGCAGTGGGTCATTGTCCGATCGTTCACTTATACTTTCATGGTAGCGATCAACTTATCGGTTCAGTGGACTTCAATGTCGTTAATTTTGTTGACTTTATCCGTAAATTCTAGTTACGTTAGCGAGATATTG